TCAGTGAAACAGTGGGATAGTTGGGGCGACTGTAGAGGAGGAATGTGCACTTTGGGTGCCAGCACCCATGAGCGAAGGCTGCCCTGACTGAGCCTTGCTTGCTTGGGGCCTAGCTCACTCCTGCCGGGCAGCAGGTGACAGGACGTGTTTTTCCGAGTAAATGAGAGAAAACTTTGATTTTCTTGCTGCCCACGAAGGTGAAAAACGTTGTCATTTGCTCCTCGCCGAAAAGGGGGTTGCCGATGGAGCAGGTCACGTTCCCAGCAGAGCTGTTTGTGACCTGAAGGAACGCCTCCACGCGGAACAGCCCATCGCTGCCTTGAGCCAGCACCTCGGAAAACGAGGGCACTGTCCTCCCTTCCAAGTCCCTCCACTGCACGCGGGGCTGTGGGAACCACCCTTCCGAAGAGCACATCAGCCGCATTTCTCCGTCCGCCAGGCCCTCCATGGTGATCCGCGGGGAAGAGCCCAGACCTGGGGAATAGGGACCAGGACACCAAACCTTCAGTCTCTGCAAGTGGCAATAGGAGCAGTGAGATCACCGAGAGGACGGGAGACTGAGTGGGCAGGGCAAAGCTTCCGGGGGAATTATCCTCCACTGAGGGTGAGACTGCCCGGAGTGGTTTGCTTTTGTTTCATTTTGTTGGCTTATTTATTTTATTTTTTTGTATTTCTAAAATTATCCTAGGACTTATTAAAGGATGCAATAAATTTCAAATCCAATCTTTTTTCTTCTCTACCTGACAACAAAGTTATTTTGACCAGGGCATAAAGCACATGACCAGGAAGTGAGTCAATAAGCAAGAGAATATAGTTTCCAAGATCAAAATCTTATAGAGTGCCTCCAAAAATGTATACACACACTTTGAAGAGTTATAAAGGTAGTGTTTGTTAAAATACATTCATTTTCAAAATTGAGCTGTCACCTGTTCAAGTGTGTACACATTTTGGGGGGGGGCACCCTGTCTGTATGTCCAGTGGCAGAAAGTGATGGAGGCCATTCAACTTCTCCACATGTACTCCTGTGGATATTCCCTAAATGTGTTTATTAATTTAGACACAAAATCAATGGGAGAACCACGTACAGCATCCAAGATGTTGGCCTATGTCTTCCATGGCATTTTCTAGCTTTGGAAAATCCATTTCATTCACAGGTATAGACAGTGGCAAATTATGAGGCAGGCAACAATTTTCTCTTTCCTCCTCCAGCCTGCCAATTCTGTCAGTATTTACTATTTTTGTTTATATGTGGATCTAGTTTAATCTTTGAATCATTACACTTCCCAGTAAAAACACAAAAACAAAATTTTAATAACACTCTGTGAATAGTAGGCTGTGTAAAATTATGGCAAAAAATTCTCACATTTCACTAAATGGATGGTCACTTTATGGAGATCCTAAGAAGGGTACAAATTCTGTAGCCAAGGAATTAAATCTGGTCCATTTGAGTTTGTGGACTTTAAGTATCTATGGCAGTTACTGCACATCAAAGGGTTCATTATGAATTTGATGAGTGAATGACATTAAGAAAATTTCAGATGCCGGGGAAATTTCCCAGAACTACCATGTTAAAGCAGTAGGAACCAAACATCTATCTAGAACCCTTACCTACTATCTTCACATCCAAGGTGTTCTCCTGGTAGACACCGTCTTTTTCAAAAAGGCACCGGTACTGCCCATCGTCTGAAGTCCTGGCATTGTGTATCTGCAGGGTCAGCCTCCCCTCGCTGATGGCGTCAGTCACCAGCACTGTCCTCCCTCTATATTCTGCCATCTGCTCTGCAGACACGTGGTCCCCATCCATATACACATAAACAGCAGGGTAACGGTGGGCTCGGACCCACCTCACCTCCATACTCTGTGCATTGGCCTCGGGGGACAGGCAACAGGTTAACTGTATGTCTTCTCCCACTCTGACAAGAAGGGGCTGGGAAGGTCCAATCACTTTTAAGGAAGCTATTAAATACAACAGGAAAAAAAAACACACAACAAAAGACTCAAAATGGAGCAAAAATAACTGTCATCGGCAAGAACATCTCAAGTGGGGTTTAGGTCCCACCAGCACCCCAGGGGAGCTCGAAGCTCAAGGTCACCCTTTGGAGAGGAGGGTGTTTGGTGTGATCAGGATAGAGGTTGTCCTTCTCAAGGCCGAACCATCCCATCATGTATGTCAGTCTGAAAAATTCACTAACGAAGCCCTCACTTGCCCCTAACTACAATTGTATTCAGGTTACAGCCAATAAGATCATTTTGCAATTAAAACTTCTAGAATACAATTAATACTTTATCCTTTCAAATTTGCATGACCTTAACAACTCTTAATCGGTGTATGCCTCAGTTTCTTAAACTATAAAACAAATATATCCCTACAAACTCATGAGGTTGTTCTGGAGTCAACAAAATAATAGGTGCAAAGCTCTTGGATGGCCATCAGTGTGAGTGGAGGCACGCAGCCTGAGGCTGACGGCACTGGAGCAAACCCCACCCTCCGCCTTGACGAGGGGGGCATGGAAGGTAGTTTCAGGTGGATTGTAGTAATCAAATGTGAAGAAACCTTCTCCCAGTTCAATTTCATTAAACCTTAGAAGTCAGATCCAGCCATCATATTTCATTGCCCAAGGTGCACATGTGTGGGGCTCTAAACACACCGAGTTCAATGTCCCCAGATGATTTTGAGAAAAATAAGATCAAGAATGGGGGAGGTTGGCAAATACAGAATGCAACAGGAAGATGAAGCCACAGGCGGAGTCTGATCTTGGAGAATGGAGGGTCCCTGGACGGCTCTCCTGGCTCTGAGCTGTCACACCTCCAGCTCCCCGGCCCTGGCCACGCCAGCTTTGCTCTATTCTAAATGGAGAGTCATCCTTTCCTATCAAATGGTCAGAAAGCTTCCACATATGTTGTGATCATTTATATTAGAAAGACAGGCATAGATTTGCATATCATCTGAATGGGGCTCAACAAAGGCAAAAATATTCTCATTATGTAATTATTCAAAATCTGCTAGGTACTTTTCGAGCGAGAAAAATCACTGTTGACACAGTTCTAATTTTCAGATTATTTCCTTCTGTTCTAGCTAAAATTAAATTCCCACTTATTTCCAGCATTTTGTTTGGTTGGCCCTTCAATTTTGCCTAAAACAGTATGTATCTGTTGAAATATAAAATATGTATCCATTCCGTGTGTATCTGTTAAAGGCTAAAAACAAATGCAAGAGTCAAAAAGTAAACAAATAATTACTAGAATTAGTGGGGTGATCACAAGTGTAAGGTATATAAATGTTGAATCACTATACTGTACACTGGAAACTAATATAACCAGGATAAGATTGTATACCAACTATGATTTCAATTTTTATAATGAAAAAATGATGTAGGGATTAGCTTGCTGCTATTCCTCCACCTGTGTGTCTGACAGTAAATTACTCAGTAAAACCGACCATTTCCTCATCTCTGCTACCATCTTGAGGATTTCCCAGGTGCATGGCCCGTGGTGCATGTCAAACTGGATCACCTTGCCAGGCACCGGTTAATTAAGAGCTAAAACTGATGTTAATGGAAACTGAAGAAAGCATAATGTAAGTTTGGAATCAGGTGTGTTATAGATACATGAAACTCCTGTCCTTCCAGAATCCAAGTGAAAATCGAGTTTAAAGTCCCGCGGAGCCCTGCAGGCCTGTCAGGAACTGATGCTCCACCAGGGAAAGAACTTGAGGGCAGCTCTACACACCCTTCCCATACAGCTGTGTGCACAGCACCCCACCCCCAGTACATGCTCACACTTCCTGTTTTGTTTTAGTTTTGAGAATTGGACGCATGCTCCTGAAATGCCTTCGGAATATTCACTGAAAAATTAAAACCTTTCTGGAGTGTGAAGCCCACCAACTTACACACTTATTCCCTGAAACCTGACCATCT